AGAAAATGCTTTGACATCTATGGGCACAAGATTTTCTACTTCTGATATAGTTAGAATATGTTTGCCTAATTTGCATCGAGGAGAGAGTTTGTACTTTTTCATGCACAAATTATGCAAATTCCTATATACCTAGGGTAATTGACCATGAAGTGCTAGGAAAGCATCATAGCACAATTCTTTTTGTTTTTTATTTCTAATGCCCTTCTGTGTTTTTCTTCTCTTTCCTGAAGGCTAGCAGGAACAGCCTGATAGGGGCCCATTTCCAGACAGACGTGGATGATGCCAGAACTATGACAGGGGCTGCAGTCTTGGCACTGAAGGGAGGTGATCAGTTATGGAACAGTCAAAGGAGGAAGTACCTGAAGTCAGGGAAGAAGAGGAGGAAAAGGAAGAGACAGTGATGGCAGTAAGTGGAACCTCAGAGCCAAATGAAGGTCTAGGTAATTCAGCACCTTCTGTCAGGTATACAGGTAGGTTGGAGAGAGATATTAATGCCTTAGAGACACTTAAAGGAGCAATTGACTTATATATTGAATACTTTTGCTAGTAATTTGTTCTGGGTGGGATGACATTTTCCTTATGATTGTGACAAATTTATTACCCACTGGTCCTGCCTTTATATATTGATTCCCAGCTCTCAAATATGTCAAGAGACCTTCCTTTATTTTTGTCCTTAATGCTTCCATTAGGTTTTAATTCTGTCTTACTGAGTTTTGGCTTTTATATCAGTCTTCTTTCCTGTCCCTCTCTTCTTCCTTCCGCAGATTCAAAATTAGTCTCCTATTTTTCTTTATTTACATAGTTCCTGATAACAAACGTTCTTTGGGTGGCTCACAAAACAGATATTTATTTATTTGTTTGTTTGTTTGTTTATTTATTTAATCACATTTGTATAGCCGCCCATCTCACATAGTGACTCTGGGCAGTGTACATAGTAACAATCAAAAACATGTAAAACTCTTAAAACAACCAATTTAAATTAAAATAAAAACAAGATAAAAACAACAAAAAAATGGCAGGAAAACATATAGAGGGTGCATTCCATTAACTGTCATGTAACCACCTAACAGGCTCCACTCTACCATGAGATCTCCAAGCTAGTTGACAAAGCCATGTTTTAAGGGCCTTCCTGAAGGCCAACAGGGTTGGTTGGGGCCAACCTCACCTGGGGGCAGTGATGTTCCACAGAGCGGGGGCTACGGCAGAAGAAACTTTCTTCCCAGGTCCCGCCCGATGACATTTCCTAGCCAACGAGACCTGCAACATGCCTCTCCTGCTGGACCTGATGGGATGGGTCAGTATATACCATTAAAAATCAGCATAAAATAATATAAACCATCAAATTAAAATACTTATAACAAGAAGTCCAGACTAATTTTATTTTTAAAATCTAGGTTTATAAAAAGATTTTTAACGTGCCAAAAATATGATGCAAGCTATTTCTTGACTGGGTTACCGTTATCAAAAATACCTTTCACTAGCACTACTGGTTCTACTTCATTTGGTATTTTTCTTAGATGTCTTACTACTGCTTGTAAGTAAACACTTGTGAACACACAATTTGCAGTCTTTCCATTAAACCATCTATTCCCCTGTAAAAGTACTATGTCCACATGAAAGTACTCCATTCCTCATAATGGTTGCACTCTGTAATCATTTCTTTTTCATTCTCTTACATCAGCTTCTTGCTTTTTGTTTGTTGCTATTATTCTAGTAATTAATTAATATTTGTTAAATCTACCTGCAGAGGATGGCTGAAAGTAGGAGTCGGGAGGAGGCTCAGCCCTTATTCCTTTTGGCTTTTCTTTCCTTCTGCCCAGGCACATGGGGTAGCTTCTGGTTATGGGATATGTAGTACCTTTTCACTACTACCACCCATCTTTCTGCAGGAAGAAAATGCTTTGACTAGGCTCATCCTCTGTAATCCTGGAATGTGAGAGGAAGACATTCTTACAGCTGAGCAATTTGCCCATAAACTGGGCATAACAAAAATGATGATTATGGTGATAATAAGAGTAGATATAGTGGTAATTACAGTAATGTTGAAAAAAGAGAACCAACTCTGTACCATTGTCTCCTGACCCTAATCGCTTTGACGCCAAAGAACAGCAGACCTGATTCCATATACACGCATGGTCAAAACCTTAACTTTATTCCACCAGAGTCACACAATTCAACTCCCCCTCCCACTTATTTTCTGCCCCTGACTTCACATACTCCCTCTGCCTTTCCTGGGGAGTAGAGGTCTCATTTATACCCCTACATCTCCCTAACTGTCCCTCCCTGTACTCTCTCTCTGGGGAGGAGGGCAAATCATCTTCTCCTCTTCCTAGATCATGCAGGGAGTGTGATCTTAAAATCCTCAACTTACTGAACCAGTCCAATCAATCCTTGGAACTTCAGCTGGTCCAGAATACAGTGGTGCAGCCAGTGATGGGCATACCTCAGTATGCCCACATAACACCTCTGCTTCATGAGCTGCACTGATTGCCAGTTTGCTTCCAGATGCCATTCAAAGTACTGGTTGTTACCTATAAAGTCTTATATGGCATAGGGTCTGGTTACTTGAGGGACTGCCTGTCTTCTATAGTATCTGCCTGGCCAATTTGATCCTGCAGGGTTGGCGTACTTTGAGTTCCTTCGATTAACGACCCTGGAAGCACACCTTCTCTGTAGCAGCACTTGCTCCCTGGAATGAGGTTCCCCCTGAGATCTGGATGCCCCCAACCCTGCCGTTATGTAGAAGGGCCTTGAAGACTCGGCTCTTCACCCAGGCCCTTGGTGAAGGAGAATTAAGACTGTCATCCTTATCTGATCTGTTATTCTTGCCATCTATTGTTGTTGTTACTAGTACTACTACTACTACACTGGTTATTGTATTTTCCTCATTTTAGTTGTTGTGAGCCACCTAGAGTACTTGGGAGTCATGTAGCATACAAATTTGAGAAATAAATATATAAATATATTCCCAGCAGGGTAACTCAAGGCATCCCAACTGCCCAGTTAAAGCAAACAGGCACCTGTATTGGGCAGTAGCAATACAAGTAGATACTGGAGGCATCAACAGTGACGACAACAAGAGCATAATTTCATACTGTGAGGGAGAAGACAGTGGCATTTATGATGTGGTTAGATTAAAGCCTTTGGGACATCTAGTTGCTGATGTTGCAATGCAGGAAAAGAAAATCTGAAGCTGCTGAGACAGTGAAGCATAAAATGCATTGACTATACATTGACATCTTAGGCATCAGTGAATTGAATTGAAATAGACTGGAGTTGGACACTTTCAGTCAGAAGATCATACTTTTTACTAATCAAGATATGAAAAACAAGGAGTGGTGTTGCTTTCATAATCAGGAATAATCAGGATATAAAAGTACAGCACGTGGGTACAATGCAGTCAAAGACCGAATAATATCAGTTAGACTTCACAGACAACTCTTTAATATGACAGTTATCCAAATGTATGCTCCAACACTGATGCAGAAGAATAGGTTGATGAGTATTATGGTCAAGGTCAGTCTGAAATTGTCAGAAAATCCAAACAAAATGTACTACTTATGATTGGAGATTGGAATGCCAATGCTGGAAATATTAAGGAGAAAAATGTAATGGAACTGTATGGCCTAGAAAACAGCAATAAGGCAGGAAAAGTAATCAGTTTTGCCAGTCCAATGATTTTTTCATTGCTAACACAGTCTTCCAACAACCACAATAATCTCTATATGTATGGACATCACCAAATGGAGTACTAGAAATCATATTGACTATATTATTGGTATAAGAAGGTGGAAAAGCTCAGTTATAATATCAAAGACATGGCCAGGAGCTGAATGTGCAACAGGTCATGAACTGTTCATGTGCAAGTACCAAGTCAAGCTAAAGTGGAAAAGGAAAGCCAACCAGTTTCCACAATATGATTTCAAATATATACCCATGATTTTCAAGGAGAACATCAAGAATTGCTTTGAAGTTTTGAACCTGATTGATAGGGAACCAGAGGAACTGTGGAACAAAATGAAAGAAGCTACTAAAAATGAATGTGAAAAAAAGACTTTCAGTGGTCAAGAAATTGAAGACAGCAAACTGGATGTCACAACAAATAGTGGAAATTGCTAAAAGAGAGAAGAGGCTAAAGCCAAGAAAGACAAAGATCTTGGGAAGGAGCTTAACAAGGAATTTCAGAGAGCTGTTAGAAAAGTCTAGAAGCAGTATTATTCTACATCTGTAAAGACAAGTTGGAAACAGACACACAAAAACAATTTTCCAAAAATATCTGAATTCAGAAAGAGGTGCCAACCTCAAATTGGTGTGCACCAATGGACAGATAGTAACTGATTTAAAAAGATCAAAGAAAGATGGAAGGAATGTACTGAAATTCTATACTTTAGAGAGGTCAACATCCAAGATACCTTTGAAGATATTCCCTATTTACAAGAACCTCTAATACTAGAAGATGAAATTAGATCAGCACTGTGGTTATTACCAAGTCAGAAGGCTACAAGAATTGATGGAACTTCTATAGAAATATGGCAAGCAACAGAAGAAGAATCTGTAAAACTTCTAATCAGAAATAAGCCAGCAAATCTGGAGAACAATATAGTGTCAGGGGTCAGTCTACATACCAATGCAAAAGAAAGGAGACTTAACAGAGCATGAAAACTATTGTACAATATCCTTCATTTTATATACTAGCAAAATAATGCTTGGATTGAATCATCTAATGCAGTTTAGAGCCCTACATGGACAGCGAGAGATGCCGGATGTTCAAGATGGCTTTAGAAAAAACTGAGGAGTAAGATACATTATTGGTGATGCACACTGGATAATTGAGAAAGCTAATGAATACCAAAAAGATATTAATATGTGCTTCATTAAATATAGAAAGGCCTTTGATTGTGTTGACTGCGTTAAGTTGTAGAACGTGCTTAGGAAAATGGGAATCCCAGAATATTTTGTTGTCCTCATGCAAAACCTATACACAGAACAGGAAGCCACAGTCCAGCCATAACATGGTGAAACAGACTAGCTGTGAGTCAGCAAAAGAGTGAGACAACACTATATGTGCACCCCTTATTTATTCAACCTATATGTAGAAGACATATTGAAGGAAGTTAGATTGGAATGAGTGTGGTTTTAAAACTGGAGGAAGAAACATCAATAACTTGCACTATGCTGATGACACTACTCTGACAGCTGAAAATGTAAATGATCTGTAAGCTCTAGTAATGAAAATCAAGGAGCATTGTGAAAGGAAGCAGGGCTAAGATTAAATATAAAGAAGATCAAAATAATGGCAGCAGGTACTGCAACCAGCTTTAGAACTGGCAGTGAAGATATTGAAGTGGTAAATTGCTTCTGCCTTTTAGGATTGACTTTCAACAGTAAAGAGACCAGCCATAAAGAAATATACCATAGACCAGCATTTAGTAGAGTAGTAATGAAGTTCTTGGAAAAGATATCATACGCTGAGATGTGTGTATTCCTACAAAGATCAGAATTGTAAAGATGATGGTCTTCCCCTTGATACTCTATGGAGGAGAAAGTTGGACTTAGAAGAAGCAGGATATAGAGTGTATTGATGCTTTTTAACTTTGTTGTTGGAGAAGACTCCTGAGAATACCATGGATAGTCAAGAAAACAGATCCAAGGATAATGAAGAAAACAAACCCTCATTCTTTCTTGCAACACTAACTGAAATCCCTCCAGCATGATCATAACACACAAGCTATCTTAAAAGATAGACAGATAGACAGGCAGGCAGGCAGGCAGGCAGGCAGGCAGACAGATGATTGATTGATAGATAGATAGATAGATAGATAGATAGATAGATAGATAGATAGATAGATCAAGTCTGCTAAATAAATCAGTACAGATTAGTGGCATACATACCTTGCCATTTACCATTCATAGTCAAAAAGCAGTTCTTAACCAATTGAAAGAATATTGGACAAAGTTATAAAATTGTTTGCATGTACTTAAAAAATTTTTTTTTTGCTGAGTTTACTGTTATGCTATTATTAGCACATACCAGTCCACATAAGGATATGAACATATATGGGCCAAAGACCTGTCTTAACACCAAGCTTTCAACAAAAGTTGAAAAGAATATGATAGAGTAAATGTGATTCAGAAAAAAGTAAATATTTTAGGCCAATTTCTACCAAGCTGTTTTGCAGACCCGTGTTGAAATTGCTGGACCCAATAATGGGAATTTTTGCCTATGAAATAGTTGCCTTCAGGTTTTGCATCACAATTTTTGCCAGATAGTAGAGATTGTAGAGAAATTTGCATTCAAATTAAATTGACTTTTTTTGGGAGGTCTAATTCAATAAGAACCGAGAGGATAAAATATTTAATAGTTCTGCTACAGAAAAAAAATTGATTTGGCCTGGCCAAGAGGAAGATAATGAGCATTTCTAATGCCCAATCAGAGAGGAGACATTTGGCTTAGTTGCCATGGAAAGAACTTGCATCTGAATAGGAACTGTGTATTTACATAATCGTATGTTAATAAGTAGTAGATTTAACAAACTTTTCTGTGCAGTTTGGAAGCTATAATGCAATAACACTACTGAATTTTCTGAACTGGATGGATGGATGGATGGATTTACTTACTTACTTACTTACTTATTTATTTATTTGAAACATTCATATAGTCGCTCATCTTGAACCAAACTCTGGGAAGCTCACAACCAAAAAATAAAACAACATCTATCTACAATAAAAAATATTAAAGCCAAAAGACCTGGCACCATAGCTAAATTTCCCTATGCGGCCCACAACAAGTTCATTTCACCAGTTTCACCCTATCCCAGCACTTGGGAGAAAAGCCAGGTCTTGAGTGCTTTTTGGAAGGTTAAAAGGGGGGAGGCCTGACACACTTCAGGGGGAAGGGTGTTCCATAGGGCAGGGGCTGCCACAGAAGAGGCATGCTTCCTAGGTCCCATAAGATGGCAAAATTTAAGGGAAGGGACTAGGAGCGTGCCCACCCTATCCAATCTGGTAGGGCTGGCAGATGTCCTTAGGGAGAGGTGGTCCTGCAAATAACCTTGGTCCTGTGCCATATAGGGCTTTAAAGGTAAAACCAGCAACTTGAATTGCACCCGGAAGGAAACTGGGAGCCAGTGCAGCTCATGCAACAGGGTGTAATGTGGGCAAACCTAGGGGTACCCATCACTGCATGTACCACTGCATTCTGTTGTAACTTCTGGGGGGTCTTCAAGGGCAGCCCCATGCAGAACGCATTACAGTAATCCAAATGGGAAATGACCAAGGCATTAGTGACCATGAGCAAGGCCCTTCTGGTCCAGGAAAGGGCACTCCTCCATAGAGTATCAAGAGGAAGACCATCATCTTTACAATTCTGATCTTTGTAGGAATACACACATCTCCTTCTGGTCCAGGAAAGGGCACAAGATGAATGTGTGAAAAATCTTGGCACACAAGATGAATGTGTGCAAAATTTCCCCTAGCCACGGCTGCAACCTGCACCTTGAGCAGGAGCCATGAGTCTAGGACCACCCCCAAATTGCACACCAGCTCAGGCCAGGGGAGTGCCACTCTGTCCAGAGTCAAATATGACATATCACCTAGACCTAGGGGGCCAAATCCCCAAAGCCACTCCATCTTGCCAGGGTTGAGTCGAAGCTGGGTTCTCTCCATCCAGATCCTTACAGCCTCCAGGCAAGATGGAATTAGTCTTCATGCCTTTCCTATTCTAAACTTTAAAAAAACCCTAAGAAATGGCAGGTTCTAAATAATACTTTAAACAATGGATTAGGTAACTCGGTTTGTATCAGTTACCATATACCAATGATACAAGATCAGTGCTACAGGCAGGTGTGAATGCAGGTGGGTGGGTGTTACAGGCAGACACGAGTATGGGCAAGTGGGTGCCACAGGAGGCCGCAAGCGAGTACGAGAACCCCCTGCTTCCTGGGGGCCCCTCAGGAAAAAAAACGTCCGGAGCAATTTGCAATCTTCTGCCAGCTTCTCCATTGACTTTGCTTGTGGGAAGCTGGCAGGGAAGGTCGTAAATGGTGATCACGTGACCACGGGATGTTGCAACTGTCGTAAGTGCGAGCCAGTTACCAAGCATCCAAATTGCCAACACATGACTGCAGGAATGCTATGATGGCTGCAACTTTGAGGACCGTCGTAAGTCCCGCTCGTTCAGCGCCATTGTAACTTTGAACTATCACTGAACGAATGGACATAACTGGAGGACTGTACTTTCTCAGAATCTGGTAATTAAAAATGCAAGATAAGTAAGCAATGCAGAAAGGCATGTGCTTTGTGCCTGATTGGAATGTAATACATTTTCTATTTTGTTTCCTGACAGATCTTTCCCAGAGTTCTTCTCCTTCTCTGTTGGACCACCTCCAGATGGGCTGTGATGAGGCAAATTCTGGAAGTCTAAATGTGGAGTGCAGAGTCTGTGGTGACAAGGCATCTGGGTTTCATTATGGAGTACATGCATGTGAAGGCTGTAAGGTAAGGACAACACAAAGATTAGGTACAGCCTTAAAGTTATGAGAGGTAGACTATTCAGCAAAGAAATAGTAGAAAGAGAACAGAATCCTTTCTCATACTTGAGATTCAAATGTATCTCTGCGACCATCAGAACAGAGGTTTAAAATAAGACTTATTCTGGTAGAGCAGAACAAAGCTTTGCTCTGCAAACCAGATGAGACATGGTAATGATATCGTCTTTGAATATGCAAGTGGTAGATTACCCAAGATAATACAAGCTAAAGTTACAACTTCTATGGAATTTGCCATTGAGATACACAGTAATTTTGCATAGCAAATACATTCTCCATTGCATCTTTTGTTCCTTTCATATACTTCCAGTTTTGATTTTTATTGCACAGTTGCCCTCTCTTATTTATGGAAATGTTAAGAGATCCAGTCAATCTTATCCTCAGTTTGTAAGCCTCCATCTTTTTCCATCTTTGATCATTTTTCTCTGCTAAGGAGGGGAAGATGGAACTAGAAGCAGTGGAAGTCCCCTTTTGCTCCTGTTTTCAGCGGGCCTCTCCTTCTCTCTCAGAATGTAGATATTTATTTTAGAAGCTAGACCTGGCTGAAATGCTGCAGGGCACCCTATGAACAGATTTTGCTCTTCATTGTGCCCAGGGCAAATGCTAATAGTATCTAAGTGATGACCAAAAAAAAAAAAGACAGCAAGGATGTTGAGAAGTTGGGATTTGTAGATTAAAGTCCACCTGGTGGTCACCTGTGAAACTGCATGCCTGCTTCTTTGTTTTATACATTAAAGAAATATATTAAGGTTCCCTCCCCTCCACCCCAGATCATTATCTTCTGTATGCATATATTCATGTTAGAAGCTTTCTTTGCGATCTGTGTTTGAGGCATCTACTTATTGCTGAAAACATTGTCCTAAGATCTTTGGTGATAGTAAGTCTGCCACTTCTGAAAGGGCTATTATTATCAGAATGAAACATCTTGTTAGTTTCCATCATTTGACTTATCACTTACCAACAGGGCTTCTTTCGTCGGACAATCCGTATGAAGCTGGAATATGAGAAATGTGAGCGGAACTGTAAAATTCAGAAGAAGAACCGAAACAAGTGCCAGTACTGCCGCTTTCAGAAATGCCTTTCATTAGGCATGTCGCACAATGGTGAGATCCCCCTCCTCTTGCTCTGGGTAGGGGTGAAGTATATAGTTATAATGGGATTAGTGGAATTACACATTTACTATAAGATATATATTTAGCAAGGGCTAGAAATTTGAGGAATGCCTCACTTGGTACATCTTCTACTTTGAAAAAGAGATGGATTTAAAGCATTTGTACCCTGCATACTGTTTTAAAATGCTTAAAAATTTACAGTAGCTAATAAATCAATATCAAGTAATATGAGTAGTAAAAGCTGCACCAAATATTATTAGAGCAAAAAATAAAAATATAGCCTGTGCTTCCCAAAATATTAATCTCTGAAGGACTAAAGTCAGTTTGCATTTCCAGAACAAAAATAAAATTGGTTTCTGTATGAAATATATATAAAATTATTCTAAATAATTTAATTGTATCTCTTGGTTTTTTTCTCAAAACATTTTAAGAGTATTCAGTGTGTCTCCATGTTTCGATGCCTGTGTTGCATAAAGAAATAACAACTAAATAAAAGGGTCCTAGGGAGTTCAATGAAGGCACATGGTGATTTTAATGCAGCCTTGCTGCAACCAAGCAAAATTTGTATGGTCAGTGTCCAGCTGGACAACTGTATGGGATTCAGTGTATGCTGGCTCTTGTTCAGGGGAAATATGACATTTTCCTTGAACAAGAAGGAAAAATTCTAAATTCTAATTTTAAAAAACCTAAAACTAAAACAAATCAACAGTAATAGCATATTGATAAAAGCACTCCAAGTGACAGTCATCAAATGCTTGCTAACATCCAAAAAGATTTAAAGGACAAGAAAAGCTAGAATGGAACTTTTCTGCTCCTTAAATTGAAACCTTAGGTGGCACTGCAGTAAAAGCTCTGCTTTTGACTATGAAATGATTAACAATCTACAGTCACCTACAAGACGTCCAAACTGTTGATACTGAATTGAAGACAGATGAACCAACATTTGATCACCTGACCCCAACTGGCATATAGGCTGACAGAAGGAAAAGTGATTGCATTTGCTTTAGAGCAGTAGGTGGTAGTTTTCTGCCCAAGCTTGCCTGTGTGTAGCAATATGTCTGTACTGCTGTGCCATAAACTTGAAAATGCCTAGTAACTCAGCCTCGCAGTCAGCACAAAAGCACCCAGTCAAAAGAATGGAAAGTTTCTTTCCACCAAAAAGACATGCCTTTGCTTGCCTGGAGAAGCCTGCTGACATAGGACATGCTACCTTGCATTCCTCATCAGCACTGTACTTGGGGAGGTAATTATCATGAACTGTGGCACCCTGCATGTGTTTACTTCTTTGTAGAATGCCCTTAGGAAGATATTACTGTATTTTTGGATTAGAATGAATTCATTTAAAATGAAGCTTGGTTTGGGAGCCGGTGTGGGTGTAGTAACATGAACAATAGATTAGAACCAGATGACCTAAATTCAAATCCCACTCAGCTCCTAATGTTCATTTGTGACCTTGAGCTAGTCACTGTCTCCCAGCCTAACTTACCTCTCACAGCTGTTACCATGATAAAATGAGGGAGGAACATTGTGTATATTTTCCTGAACTCTTTGAAGAAAGGGTAGAATATAAAATGATTAAAAACAGATGTATATTTTTTTTCTATAATGTTATGTTACAAACAAAAAAATAGTTTTAAAAATATGCTGAAATATTAATTAAAAAAACTATTCTGAACCTTGTTAGCTCAAGTCTTTAGTTCAAGGCTTTTAAACCCTCCTGCTTTGTTTTGCTTCTTCAGCCATTCGTTTTGGCCGCATGCCAGAAGCTGAAAAAAGGAAGTTAGTGGCAGGACTGACAGCTACTGAAATCAGCTGCCAGAACCAGCAGGTGGCTGATCTGAAAGTCTTTTCCAAGCACATCTACAATGCCTACCTGAAAAATTTCAACATGACCAAAAAGAAAGCACGAGGCATCTTAACTGGAAAAGCCAGTAGCACCCCAGTGAGTACCTCAGATTCAGAGGTTTACATAGTGTACTAAGCAAGCCTTTCATTGTAGTTCAAGGGATTCAGTGCTGAACTGCCAAACAGACTTACTTGCACTGAAGGTCTTGAATCAGGAATTTAGTCTTGCTCATAAACAGAAGCTGATATGGTCAGGTAGCAACTGAATTTCATCACTGAAGCTTTTCAAAGTTGCATAGCCAAATATTTTCCATTATACTTGGATTACTTTATAGATTTTCCATCAGCATTTGCATGGGATTAATTTCTGCATACAGGAAAAAGGTAATCCTTTATTTCCAGTGAATAAATGTTCCCCATGGAAAGATCTTCTCAAAATAAATTAATGAACTACACCCATAGTTTAAAAAAGGGATTAAAACCATCATCATTTAAAAGGTTTAGGCGAGATTTGTTTACTATACAGTATTTATAGACGGCAGTAATTAAATGAACTGCCAGCAATTTACATTCCAGTAAAAAAAGATATATATTAAAACTGCAGTTAAAACTTTCATCAGTAAAAACAAACAACAAAAATAACAACCAAAATACAACCATGATACCAACCCCAATTTAACAGAAGGTCTCAAAAGCTCCACAAAGAAACTACACAGCCTTATGAAAAATTCCAAGATACATGCTAATCAGACCTCTGGTGGGAGGCTATTCCACAAGGCAGAGCACCACAGAAAAGCACTGGGGCCCCACTCCTCTTACTCTTTTGCCTCTGGGGAATCCTAAGCATTTCCACCCAGGATGACTATACAGGATACACTGGTTCTACATAAAGAAGACAGTCTTGAGGATAACTGAAAGCCAGACTTTCTTAAGCTTTAAAAGACATAAATTAAATCTTAGTATCATTATGCATATATAATTCCATATCTTCACATAGGAGAGAACAACGTGAAAAAATGAAGAGTAATTATATATTTGAACCTGGTTTGACTAGGGTTACACTTACCTGAAGAATCTGGCTCTCAGTTTGAGTTTGTCCTTTAATTCTGCTTTATTATTATCGTCCCTAGTGAATTCAGTGGATGGTGTCCCTTTTATCAGATTACTGCAATATGCTAGCTGCAGTTTGCTCAAGACAGAGATCATTTTTTATGTTCTGGTGTCCTTTAGAAGATACCTGAAGCTAGCCTGGAAATTGTAGTTAATTTACAATTAATTTAACTGGACTACAAAAGTCTGGATGACCACTAGATGAAGCAAAGAGTTAAAATTTTGATGTCCTTTGGTGCCATCTATTAGTCATTTGGATTTTTGTAGCCCAGATATAATAGCCTTAAATTACTAAAATGCTTGTCCTGTTTCTGGAAAGATGGACATACTGTCAAACAAAGCACTGCACTATAGTACTGTATGTCATGATTTTTATTTTCTAAGAAAGTTAAAGGGTTCAAAAGGATTCTTGGTAATAAAGATTATGTTGGAACTTTATTTTGCAGTATGTCAACTTTTTTCATTAAAAAAATGTTTTAAAAAATCAGATGGCACAGGGATTCTGGTGGGCACATCATTGCCTCTAGACATCAAATTAGGGGCCCTAAGGGCTAGAGGTGTACCCCAGAGCATATACCTCCTTTGGTCAGAGGTTCTTTCAGTTAATAATTCCTTAGGCATTTGCCTGTTTCCTGCCTTCCATTTCCTATATGGAAATGCCCGTCTCTGGGCATGTGTTTCTTGGGCAGCTGCAGCTTTGCTGAAGAACTGAGGTGGAAAGTGTACGTTCTGGGAGGGGTTACACACAATTGGTGGGTTTCTTGTCAAAATTTTAAGTTCTAGAAAGTTCCCTATTAGTTTCACAGAAAACTCAGAAAATAAATATGGCTATGCTGTTACTAATAAATTATAATCATAATTATTGAATAATTATGTGTTATAATATGACTGAGAAGTTGATTTATTTTACCTGCAATATTATAATAACTAGAAATAGCTCCCTTTCATCTGTTCTTTTTAATTAAGCTTATATTTTGTTCCATCTCAGATGGTTATATATTTGTGTAAATGATTGCATAATTCACATTTATTTCTCTAATGGGACTTCTGTTAAGATCCATAACTGCTCTGAATTTTCTTATGAGCTTCATCATCTTCAGCAAATTGAAGATTTACATAATTTAAGCAGGCTTCCAATACTTTTGCATTTTAGTTTGTCAGTAATACTGTTTCTATATTTTAAAATATTTGGATGATTACTTTCAAATGATTTATAAAAATCCCAAGAATGCTGTTTGATAAGTAATGTAAATGTAGTAGAAATATTGGCATTGCTCACATAATTGCTCTTGCTTTTTTAATCCAACAGATATATAAAAAGTGTAAATATAGAGGTATTGTTGCAAAAATTTCTTTTAAAAATATTTATCTCCTTATTCAAAAAACGGTAAGAAGTATTTGCTTACTAGACCAAAGTGGAGCCTTAGCTTAAAAAGTGAGGCACTCTGGCGTAACAGAAATGCTGGCCGAACTGTCTTCTGCATATGCACAGAAGACCAGCAAAGGCCAGTGAAATGGCTGCTTCAGTGGGGTTCACTAGGTATTGTTTACCATTGTAGAGCAACCTCAAGTGAACACTTCAAGGTTCACTTAAAATAAAGTTCCCCTTCAAGATTTTAAGTGGCCTTTTTGTTTATAAGTATTTCAGTTTCAGTTCTTGTGGCAATAGTAGGAAGATAGGGCTACCATTCTCCACCCCACCCCCACCCCCAGGCTTTAGCAGTGTCTCCAGATTTAAATAAAACAAAGACTGTTTAATAACATTTAGCTGCTATTTTTCTGAATTCTGCATGGCATAGTCTGCTTCTATTTCTGATGACTGGAGGTACTGTAGCACCAGCCTCATTGTCAATATTGTCATTTTAGTTCTTTTGTTAGTTTGTGATACACATTAAGCATAACTTGAATGGTATTTCCAAGAGTATCAACTCAACCAACAATCTTTCTCTTCAGTTGTGAATTTCATTATGACAGAATCCAATTCTAGCTTCTCAGAGTGACTGTAATATTAACATAGAATTGAAGAATAAGATTTAGTAGCCTGATTTACAAGAAATGTTAAGCGATATTGCAGTTTAACTTAACATGTCATCTGGAACTCAGACTATGGATCAGATTGTGGCTAAGGTAGAATGTCTTTACCACAGTCTGTAACTATGGTTTACTTTTAGCGGCTTACCTTAACGGTGTTCTAATATGTCATTTGAATCTAGACTAATTGGTGGCTTATGATAAGCAGTAATCACTCTTCCACACAAAAGAGACAAGTGGTTGCAAACAGAGTTGTTCCTGCAACAGTATCTGTTTTATTCCAAGCCTTTCCCCACCACCCCTGTGATATAAAAATTTTAAAATAATAGGAATAGAAGTAACCTTTCCCCATCATGTGACTGTGATCCTAATCAGACCAACATTCATCTGAAGTTTTTGTTGTTCTCAAATTAAAAAAAAAAAAGTATTGCTTAGTCAGTTACTGAAAAATTAGCTGAGACTTGGGCTGTGAAGGAGAGGGACAATTAACCTTTGCCAGGAGCAGTTTACTGTTTTACCACAGCGCAGACCATGGTAAATACTAAGCACTGTTTATTAAGTCATATAATCTTAGCCATTGAATATCATGGGGCAGGGGCAGGGGCTAGGGGCTAGGGCTAACATTGGTCATTTATATTTGGTGATCTACTTAGTGAGGCAGAAATTGATGTGGCTTAATAAAAGTGTCCATGTGGCCAGTATGAAATGATATGCTATATCAGTATATCTGACATCCTAAATCACCACTAGGAAAGCATCCCTTTTTACAAATAGTAACTAAACCTTACATTTGAGCTTTACAATAGTTATTGTATGGATGATTAAGGAACATTGATAGATAATTATTTCAGGAACAGATGGCAAAGAGAAAACATAAAATGGCAGTAGCATATCTTGAATTCACAATATTGTAGGTGAAATGTTGTTGTGCTTTGCATTGTGTTGATTAGCCCAAAAGAGGAAGGCTTTAAATGATCAGCAGCATAAATAATAAGCATTGTCACTCTGTACCTCTATGTCTAGGTTTCTCATTACCAAATCCTAACTTTGTATGTTGTTCTTCATAGCCTTTTGTGATTCATGACATGGATACGCTGTGGCAAGCTGAAAAGGGTCTGGTGTGGAAACAACTGATAAATGGGATGCCACCATACAAGGAGATTGGTGTTCATGTTTTTTACCGCTGCCAGTGTACATCAGTGGAGACCGTGCGTGAGCTCACTGAATTTGCCAAGAGCATTCCTAGTTTCATCAGCCTTTACCTTAATGATCAAGTAACTCTCTTGAAATATGGGGTACATGAGGCCATCTTTGCCATGCTTGCCTCCATCATGAATAAGGATGGACTCCTGGTGGCCAATGGGAATGGTTTTGTGACACGTGAGTTCTTGCGCAGCTTGCGCAAGCCCTTCAGTGAAATCATGGAGCCCAAATTTGAGTTTGCTGTGAAGTTCAATGCCCTGGAGCTAGATGACAGTGACTTGTCTCTGTTTGTAGCTGCCATCATCCTGTGTGGAGGTGAGAGATTAGAAAAACATTGAGCAGAAGGGAGAGGTAAATCATTTTTAGCAAGAGATCACATTCTGAAAGTTTGTTGATGAGAAAAAAATAGTAATACAGAATGTACTGCTAGACTATGGGGAATTAATAATGGTGTGTGAGAACAGCATTTAAAACCAGTTCTATCACCCATCACAAACAGTGCATGGATTAAATTAAAAAAACTTGATAAATCAAGTCAACCCTGTCAGTTTATGTCACAATGTTTCGTAACAGTTTCATAGTGTATAATTTTAATTATGTAAGAAATCTATTAGTCACCTTTTAAAACTTCCCTGCTATTAATATATTAATAAAATGAGAGTAATCTATGTGTGGATATAAAATTAGTTTAATATCAGTGATATTAAAATTAACAGCATAATAGGATGAGCAAAAAATAATGTCAGTTTCATTCAGTACTAAATGTATTTATTTGTTTAGATTTATATCCTGCACTTCCTCCAGAACTTCAAGGCATCATACATAGCACTTCCTCTTCAAGTTTTTCCCCACAATAACATCCCTGCAAAATTGGCTGAACTGGCCCCAAATAGCCAACTGAATTTTCATCGCTGAGGGTGAAGTGAATCTTGGCCTTCCCACTTAGGAAATCAGTACTTTAGTCACCACACCACATTGACAGTATGTTACCACATTTTAAAGATCAACAGTAAAAGTTAAGACTCAGCTGAAAAGCAAGCAGGCATGTATTGCCATTGATATGAAATTAATGTAGTCTAGTCCAGTCATTTAATTCTTGTAAATATTGGCACTTGTTCTATTGCAGAATCTTAATTGGGCTATAACCAGACCATAATAACTGAGCTAAGATAACAGCTCTTAACCTTCTCCCATCAATATTTTCTCTATACTTCTACCAGCCGTAGTGAATTGACCAAATAAGAAGAAAAAACATAATTTTACTGGTGTTCTTGTCTATAATGAATTGACATAATTTGGAGAAGTTTGTTAATTGTAAGAATGATTATAGCTATAACTATAGGGGGAAACAATCTTTTAGAGGGGGAAAACTTTGTTCCCATCATCTTCAGTCAGCTAAACCAGTGGTAAGCAACGATGAGAACTGAAGTCTAAAAATCTGTAGGGTGGCATATTGCCTATTTTTAAAGGATCTTTAAAGAAAATGATAGCCTTGGATGCCCTTATTTATGGAAGAAGAAAAGGAATTGTACTGTAGGAGAACTTGTTTGTAATATTGATAAAAATAGTCTTAAAAGAAAAATTTCCATATAAGAAGGCAAGCCTAAAATGATTTTTTAAAAATTGAAAATACGTATTCCTCCATAAAGAAATAATGGGTGGAGTGCATAAACATGCTTTTCTGTTCTGTTGTTGTGTTTTAAATTGGTTTTGTTCTCAAATCCTGCTGGTTTTCTCAATTACTCAGCCACCTTTTACAACCAGCAGCATGATTGTGCCCCTGAGATTACAGATATATAAAAGTCTAGGAGAGAGTATTTTATATCAGTTAATGTTCCTCTATGAAAGAAATTCTCCAGATGTAAAAGCATGGTACTGAGGAGCAGGCTAGCCTGACAATTATATTTTAAGAAGTAGTCCTAAGAAAATATGTAGAAATAATGAAAAATGTTTATAAGTAAATATTCACAAAGTCAAATGTCTTATAAATAATTTGGTGTATTTCTTTTCTTGTAGACCGCCCTGGCCTAATAAATGTTAAGCAGGTTGAGGAGATACAAGACAATATTCTTCAAGCTCTTGAATTCCATCTACAAGCTAATCATCCAGATACTCAATACCTCTTTCCTAAGTTGCTGCAAAAAATGGCTGACTTGAGACAGTTAGTGACTGAGCATGCACAGCTGGTGCAGAAGATCAAAAAGACAGAGACAGAGACTTCTCTGCACCCTCTCTTACAGGAAATCTACAAGGACATGTACTGAGGAGCTTATATTTATCAGATAGGTGAAAGCCATGGAATCCAGCAAATGCTTGTACATTAGCAAAGAAATCCCTGTGTCTTCCATTACTTCTACTGGAAATGCTTTGCTAGATGATTGCTGTATGCTGTACATAGGGGCTTACAGTAGAAAATATGGAATTTACCATATGGTATAGACCAGAGGGCTTCCGTTAACATACACTAAATGAAACTTAATTTGTTGCTACAGTTCAGCTCTTAGCAGTATTCCAGAGCAGTTGATGTATTTACACACACCCTGCAAATGTGCTTGAATTGTTCTATTGGATAACATGAATTGTGCCCAGATTATTAAAGCAAGCAGTACCTTGACTGACAAGTACAGAAATAGCACTTACATCATAATCCTGTTATATATTATTTTTATATTGCACTCTGAAATTATGGATGGCCCTAGCTGTAGAATATTATAAAGAAACTATGTGGGTATATACATTTCCCAAAGAAACATCCAAGTGTTTCATGAGGAGTATGACCACTCCTTCTGGAGATTCTTTCATTGGAAAGAGGTTTGCTCTTCACCCTCAGTGCACAAAAATGGACATGTCTTCTGGCTGAAAGTCCTGTCCTCCACATGGGTTTCTACATACCTCTACTCTTTCTACACTGCAGGTTGTCGAAGCTCTTCATGAATGTGTATAGAGCTTGCTTGTTTACTGTAGAAAAGTGGGCTTTCCTCTCCTACTGTGTTCAGGTGCTCACCCAGTAATGAGCTGGATCTGAAAAAGGGTGGAGATGGGATTTTCTCTTAGATGATAGCTGCGAAAAGTACATTTGCATCCTTCATTTCAGCTAAGGTGGCTTTAATGTTCTCTGAAGTCTGACAAAAAAGAATCATCCTAAGCACCTGAGTGATTCTCTTTTGGGGAGGGGAGAATACAGTATAAGGTGGATGTTAAAAGGCAGCAGATAGATCCCTGTGAAATCAGCGTGATTTAAGGATGTAAATGAAGGCAGTAATAATGTATTTCATTGTTTTTAATGCAGCTTCTTACCCCTGTCCTTTCCAAGAGGAGGATTCCTAATATGTGAATTGCACCGGTATCTTTTCCACAAGCATAAATGCATTATGTGCTTTCATAATCAGCTATTGGGAAGAATTGTTTCATGTTAAAAAGTTTTCTGTGTTCAGAAAACATTTTAACAACTCTTTCTCAACAGAGAGTCAAAGAGTTGTTAAAACAATTTATTTAATATTTCCCAAGGATTTGGACTAGGTTACAATATATTTTTGGCTCCTTTTTCTTTCATGATCGGTCCTGCTTCATTCCATAGGTGTGCCAGGCAGCTTTTGCTAATATAAATTATCAGCATAGATCATCTTTAATATAGAAGAATCTGCATGTGAGGACTTCATTGTCATATTGATGTGCCAGTAATGTGGAGTCATTATGCCTACACCAGGTTGATGTAATGTGAAGTTTGTCAGGCTTCTTTCCTTGGTAACTTCCACTGTATTCTGACCACAGAATAGATCAGCACAATGGTTGAATGTGGCCTTAAGAGCATTGTCATGTAATTCTGGTAATGTTTTTTTGCTACATTGTCAAGTGGATTGCTTGCTTTCAGGGAAGAAGAAGAAAAACTACTATAAAAAGAACCCCAACTACCAAAAATAATATATCTACCCATGTATAGGGCAACAGAATTTCAGATGATGCAAACATTGCTTAAACTTGCTGGTTGTCCTGACATTTCAAATCATGTAGAATTAAATGAATACTTTAATTTTTCATTTCTAGATTTGGGTATAGAAATTGTCAAAGAGCTTTCAGTCTTAATTAATGACATACTATATTTTCAAGAATATTTTCAAATTGGGTCCTTTTAAAGTACCACTCAAATTTTTGGAAATGAAGCAGTGTTTAGCAATAGCTTTATATGGAAGAGGCCTCTGATTCACAGTACCAATTAGAAGAATCATGTGGCAAGTGATATATATGAAAGTTTCCACCTAAGCCACTGCCATTTAGAGTAAGTATGGTACATTTGTCAAAAACTAGTTTTGTCTTGTGCAAATTAGCTTTCTGTGCTCTTCTTTATGCCCTGAGCTATCTGAGAAGGAAAATGCTGAACTGTTGGTCCTTCTTTCTGAAGCATAAATAGCAGAAAGAAAAGATGCAACTTAGGCAACATGTGCTCTTGCTTTAGCAGAATACCGTTTTTAAGGCTAGAACAGGCTGCAAACTGTCCATGCGTAAGGCTACCATTTGGGGATGGGGCCTAACTTGGGAATAAGCATAACTTTAAATGAAGAAATCCCAGATTCTGTTTCCAGGTAGGACTGGGAAAGGGATACATCTGAAATCCTGGAATCCTGCTGCCAGCAATCACTGTAAACAGTTCTGAGATAATCTTCCTACATTAGTTTTATTACATAGCTGTCCTAGCCAATTAATATTCTATTATTATGACTCATGATATATAATTTGGTAGACCCAGAGCCTGGATATCTTTTAAAATAAGCAAATGCTTATTTAAAACAAAATGAATGGAAATTTGAATTGGGCAGCCGTGTTGCTCAAGTTTTATTATAATCTGGCTAATTTACTACCAACTTTTAAAAAGAGAATCAGAATGAACTTGGCAAGCTATAGATACTCTTGCAGTTAAAGCACAAGTTTTAAATAACAGACTCACGTTTAACAACTTGCCTAGTAGATACATCTAGTCAGGATTTCCAAATAGGTTGTTGAAACTAGTGAAAAATTATCAATAATTTTCTCCATTTCTTGATGTCTGTGGTTGCAGGAAGTATGCTCTTTGATAGAAATCCATTTTTTAAATATTGATCCTTCCTCTGCAACCCCCATAAAAATCCAGACAACTAGACCTGTAGCAGACATGTAAAAAATATTTTGCTGTTGGTAATGCTTTATGATGTTTAAGAGACTGTGTACATGTCTATGCAGAAATACATTCTTTGGGGATAGTTTTGCAGCTATAGTATTGGTCTGTTATATAACTCTTCTGCATTAAAAGGTTGTATTTTTCCATTAGTTCCAATCTCAGACTGCCAATACTATAGCTGCAAATCCTGTGCTTTGTTTTTCTACAGTTAGGCCCATAATGGTTAAGGAATCTTTTGTGATCTTCATGCATAGGATAGTTCCATTAGCAATTCTGACATAATAGCTACCATGTGTAACTAGCTGGAATGTTGTTTTTGTTGCTAACTTAGGGGAAGCGGGGTGCTTGTTCCTTCTTCCAACTCTGCACGTATATGCAGTACTTGATTTTGCTGTGCCTCTTTCCAGAATGAAATAAGTGGGAAATTCTACCTCTACCTTGCAGGATTGGTGTGAAGTTAATGGAATGTGTTTTATTATGAGAATTTGTGTTGCAGGAGCCACGGGTGGGCAAATCACTGAAAATAATGGCTTGTGATTTTTATATTTCAGCATCTGCCTTAGACCTTCATTTTTAGCCACTATGATTGAAGACCTCTTTGCCCAGCATCTTGCTGTTCCTCAGGAGATGCTGAACAAATATTTGCAGCACTAGAAGAGTCTGCATTCTTTGGGTTTTTTTTGGCTGAGGGTGTGATGGCAGAATAATGTAGCAATTCTCAAATTGAAATGTATATTTTTGCTAGAAATTCAAATTTCAGGTATTTTTAATAAATAGTGACTGACAACGTAAAAAAAAAAGAAATAAATATTTAAGAAAGTATTGCAACGTAGCTCTTCTTTCATCTACTTTAGATTCCCTGAGGATCTAGCTTTATTTTTCTATTACAGATTTCACAGAAACACTGAACAATACCTCTCAGCCACAATGTATCATGCAATTTTTTTGAGTAATGGTGATTTTTTAACTAGAATCTTTTTAGGGCAAAAGATATTTCTGGGTTCTGCAGTTTGTTTTACTCTGGATGTGATAATGGAGAATCTTTTTAAAAATTACTGTATTAAAGCCGACCATCACATTAGGCAAAAGTTCTCAAGTTATCTAGAAGCATACTAAAACACAAAAGCAAATTTAAGATATTCTTTTGGAAGTCACAAGTGATTAACCAATTTTGTCTCTAGCACTAATTTAGACTTTAGGTATAAAACTGATCACATACTTTTATATTTTCCTATATGCAGATATCATAAAATGCTGTTAGTTTCAGAATCTTGTTGTTTATACACATAGATCAATTTGTATGTATAAAGCAGCCTTCAGTGATCTGCAAGAGGCTGTCAGTGTGACATGTTCTTCATCCAAACAACAACATTTAATTACCCTACTTGTGTGGACTTTGACCAGTTCAATACACACAGCTTCAGGCCAAACTGACTGCAACCTGAACTCAGAATTGCTATCTGATAGGTAGGATGCTGACACAAAATTCCAATTATGATTCATTAAGCAAAGTAGGTTATACATCTGAGAAAAGATACATAGGATTTTTTCACTGCATGATTTCTACATATCTCTGCAGGTTGTTCCATGCTGAAGGCCTTTAAAAAATAGTGTTTCATGCATGTAAAATACTTCTGCTGTTTTCATTTTAGTAAGTCTAACTTGGCAGCTGTTCTTTACCTCATTGGATAAATGGGGCCTGACAGTAAGCAGTTGTTAGAGATTGCCTCATGAGATTCATTGCTGCCAGTGCTTGAAAACTTTTGTCACATAAGTTAAATGAACTTTTAAGAAGTTCCAGGACTCCTATGTTGTTTAACTATGTTCATTTTGTAAAGAGAGAATGAATCTTGGTATTTATTCAAAATTCAAGCCTACAGTCCTTGTGGCTGTTTTACATAATATCAGAAAGGCAAATCTTAATGTTGCTACTGCCAATAGAGGCGAATATATGTAGCTCAGGGTTGAACTGAGTCCTTGGGGTTCTCTGAGCTTGGATCTTTTCTTGCAAACATTTCATTACTCGGCTAGGTAACATCTTCAGTGCTAAAATGGGATGGGGTTTGCTCTCTATTTATATATTGAAGGTTACCACCAAGCACACCATCAAGCAGTAAACACATGCTAATCAAGGAACTACCAGAGGAGCAAAACAAAACCCCCAACCCCACCAGCACTGGCAAGGCAGGCCACAGTATATAAATAGAGAGCAAACCCCATCCCACTTTAGCCCTGAAGATGTTATCTAGCCGGGTAATGAAATGTTTGCAAGAAAAGAACCAAGCTCAGAGAACCCTAAGACTCCACTGTTGCTACTGCATCTTCCCACATTGTATAATTGGACATTGAAATATATAATGTTGATCTATTTGTATGAACTGGAACTATGCATTGGTTGCATGGAAGCTGTTCACAAATTCTGAAAGAAACACGAAACATATTTTGAGAAGCATGGGGAGAAAAAAGCAAGTGGAGAGAGGCAATATTTTAGCCTATTGGTGAGTACAGCAACCAGTAACCCTGTTAAAATAAATTTTCATGCATATAACCCAAACACATACTGCCTCAATAGGGGATATAATTTGTATCTAGATGAGAAATGTATTGGTAAGAAACTGCATGGTTACTTTCCCACATTCCCACTCTCATCTCATTATGAATTATTGAAAATAGTCCCTATAAAGTCTCTGAAAAATAATGGTAGTAAGAGGAAGTAATGACATGACCAAATGTTTCCATCAATTTCCATGTGTTTTAACCCACTGGTGTGAATGCCTTTCATTATTTTTCAGTAGGCTGAGGAAGAACAAGTAGTATGTGTTGTTTACTTCCTTTTTGCTCAGTCTAAGGAGCAAGCTGATTGTCTTTCAGTGGGATTGCTCAATCTGACTGACAGTTTTTGCACTCTTCTGTTGGTTGGCTCAAGAAAGAACTGACTGGTTGATGCTGTTCCCTGTTTGTTCTCACCAGAGTCAGCAGAAGTGAGAGCCATCTGCATGACTGGTTTGCAAATGCTTTGAAATAATTTGGGAGTGGAAACACTACCATGTGGAAGTGTCCTAATTATCCAGGATGTGTTCTTTTGAAGATTATTGTTCTTTTAATTATGAACCATTGAAGATATAAATAGTAATTACAGAAACAAATAAACACTACTGACTAGTTGCAGAAAATGGCATTTCTATACGTTCTTACCTAGACAATGACCTTGTATTTGTACAGATTCTGATATTGAAAGCATTTAATAGATCTTGTTTCAGCATTCTTAACAACAGCTGAATATGGTCAGTATTATTATTCCCATAGCACAGATAGAGGTTGGAAGGATGCAGTTTGTGACCAGTTAGAGATTTGAATCTGACACTCTCCCAGTTATGTATGCATGCTTCTCTACTCAGAAATTAACATGTTTATGTTCCAGAGTTTCCAGACATGTGTATAGCAAGAGAATGTATGAAGCATTTTGAGTACAAAAAAGTGCCTTAAGAATGGTAAGCGTTACTAAACTTTGAACTAGAGGTTTCTAATACATGTTCTTAGCTGTACCACAAGTGTGCTGATAAATTTACATCACAAAGATAATTATAGATGAGATTTCATATTTTTGAATCCTAGTGATTTGATTATTTTAAGTATATGATTGCTTTCTCCTACCATCTTTTTAGCAGTTTAACATCCTAAGTTCACTTATTTCTGGTGAGAAAGCACTAAATCCTTGTAATGTTTGATTATTTATAAACGTGCAAGCAGATGCATAATGGGAAGAGATTCTTAAAATAGCATATACCTATGCAGAATATACCTATAGGGAATTATCTACATCTAGTTTCAAGTATTCATTCAAACTGCCTCTCTCAAAAAAACATTCACTTCCTGCCAATCAAATCAGGCAAAACCAGAGAAACAGTCTTATTCATGCCAAACAAGATAACTTTGGGAAAACCTCAGGCAATTCTTCATTATTTCATATCCAGTACCTTTAAAATACTTTGGATGGTTTTGAAACATTGAAAATACAAAATGTTGTTACTGCAGAATTACATAAATGGGAAAAAATTCACATCTACAGTAAGGCAATCTCTTAATTGGAATCAACTTAAATGGCATGAAAAATGTGCCCAACCTTTCAAGAGTCACCTGTTCCTTTTACTCCAGAAGACTCAGCAATTACACTAGCATCTGAAGATGGATTGAAATAACATCAGAAAAATAGTATTTATATCTACATTGGAATTTAGGTAGAATCTTTAAGTAGTTCATGGTTCATTCAAAAGCTTTGCAGAGGGCTTCCAGTGGCTTCTAAAAATTATTTGAAAACAAATGGTACTGAGAGAAAGAAAGAGAGACTGACTGTGAATAAACTGTTTTAAGATGCTTCCAGATAAAGGTCTTTATTTTGCAAGCACCCAATAGAAATCTATTGGAAGTACAAACCATATTATCTTACACCTATAACCTTCCTGTGTTTCCCCATTCTGTTCTCCATTTTCCTCTTTTCCATTCCCACCCCACAGTTGTAGAGGAAAAGATGGCAATCCTGCATAATATCTCTTGAGATATAGTGCTAAGAGTCATCTATCTAAAAGCTCTTGTATATTTTAATAAAACAAAAGAGATATTTTGGAACATCTTAAAGACTCATTTATTCCAGCCTTTAATGGAAGGTGTTCTGCCAGTGGTATGGTATGAAGGCATTATCCTGCGTTGGAAGGATATATATGCCATAGAGACTTAGGCAATAAAGTCATAAATTGCAAAAGGTTTTGAGTCAATCCTCAAATTATACAAAATACTTGTGTTCATTTCCATTTTCTATTCAATTTTACTATCAACTGTGACCATTGTGAGTTAAAATTAAAGATCGCCATAATTTATTTGTACTTTTCTTTGCAAGATATATTTCAGTTGTAAAATGAAAGCTTCATAGTTGATTAAAATAGGTCTCAACCTATTAAGGTTTATGCCATAATTCTTTTTAAGTATCAAAGGAAACATTTCAAATATTGAAGACTTATTTTGTATTTAGTCTCATTCTTTTTTATATGTTCAAAACAGTATACTGGGTTTTCTTAGTTCATTTATCTTCCTTTGCCAACCTTCCTGCTTTGCCAGACTCCACAGACCTGCTCAACCGTGCTTTTCTTTCCACCAACCTCATGTTTTCAAAATTGAAGATTAGCTATATTTTCTTAGTGATAGATTTAATCTAATACTTAAAACAGTTAATTAGAGGCTTTCAAACTGGGCTCAACTCCTAGTGATTACATAGACAAACTGCCTCATTCACCTTATATATTGTTTCCTTCTACTTTGCCTGCAGATGATGGCATATATCACATTAGATGTAATAAATATATGCACAAGAGTAAAAGTGCTTTCTCATTGTCTCCCTCTAATTGACATATGCCACCATCTGCCAGCAGTGCCCCTCTATATTTTATGTAAGATAAATGGTGCAAACTTTGTGTAAAATTAATGAACACAAATTTGACATCAGGACTCAAAACAAATACAAAGTAATATTATAGCATTTCTACCTCCACTCTGTTTCAGACCTTAAAGTGACCATTTTGGAAAAATGAGACTTTAACAGCATCACTGAGTGAGAAGTTGCTGAGCTTAAATACATCAAAAAGTTTCAGGCAATTTCAAAAGGTCTCAACAAACAATGAGGTTTTAACACATTACAATTGTTAATTGAGAAGGTACTTGTAATCCATCTCACTTGTAACCTGTATCTGCATAACCAACCTGTCTTCCCCTACCTCCCCCCGCACCTCCCCTAATTTAAATCAGTCTTGCCATTCCATGCATCTGATGAACTGCTGCTCACAAAAGCTTACTTTTTAATAACAGTCAGAAAAGATGCTACCAGAATCCTCCTGACTTTTTGCCACCATAAACTACTAACACTGCTCTCCTACAGTGTGTGCTGTGGTTATCACCATATCTCAATCATTCATTCGTTCATTCAATTTGAATGGCTGCCCATCTCAAATGCATGACTCTGGACAGCTAACAATACTTAAAAACGATAAAAACCATATAAAATTATAAAAAGTATGTATAGCAGCCCAGAAACACCAACCAAACAACACAACCATGATATGGGCTCAAGACACACATCCTGGGGCTTGATGACAAAACCAGATTTTCAGGGCCTTACAAAAGGCCAGCGGGGTTGGGGTGAGTTTGATCTCCAGAGGAATATGTTCCAGAGAGTGGGTGCCATGACAGAAAAATCTCTCTTCCAGGATTCCGCCAGATGACATTCCCTGACGGACAGGATCTGGAGCATGCCTCTCCTGCTGGATCTAGCAGAACAGGTAGATACGACCATAGAGAGATGGTCCCACAAATAACTTAGTCATGAAGGGCTTTAAAGGCAACTACCAGCACCTTGATTACACTCGGAAGCACACTGGCAACCAATGCAGCTCATCAAACAGGCTATAGACAGACATTTGCGTGTCTGTGTTGAACTGAAATCTATATGAGGACTAGTATGTGTGATGAACACCTGCACAACATATTGGCATTAGAAGAGACCCTCCAAAGTCTTTGACTTTGAAGTGGTGGTTAACAGCAAAACAGTTGGCAGATTCAATTTTTACAGACATTTACAAATGTGTTTTGCCTCCATTCTCTGCCATCTCACTGAGTTTATATTTGATAGATTGATCAAGCAGCTTGATTAACCATTCTTTGGATAAACAACAGTATGTCTTGGCTTCCTTGTCTGGCCAGAGACTGTCTTGTCTGTATGCTCTGCTTCCTCTCGCTGATCCCTGGGATAATCCTGATTATACTAGTATTGCCTTAGAAGTAACTATTTTTGAAAGAATTCTATTACCAGTGTATCTTGTTTTGCCTAATCTGTACATAAAATAGTTACATGACATTTTTGTTTGGAAACGAACTTGTTTGGGACCTATTTTATTGTTGAGTCCTTGGGGTTCTCTGAGCCCAAGGACTCCACAGTTCAACCCTGAGCTACACATATTCGCCTCCATTGCTACCTATTTTATTGTAATTTGGATTTGGGTTGGTAAAAGCGTGCCGTATATAGGACAAACTAATACTCTATTAAATTTCATTCAAGTCAGTAGGATTTGAGAATATTAGTTCAGGATGGATGAGCCCCATTTTTAAATGCAGTGCGTCCCCATATGCCCCCTATGCAAAAAGCCTGGAGTAGCTGCTGAAGAACTCCACTTTCTCTCTCAGCGAGGTCAGAGAACTACCTCCCCAGCTTGAATACCTCTCGCTCGCTGAGACGCCGCGGAAGAACCCTTTTCAAAATAGAGACGAGCCACTCCATTCGACCGCTTAATAAAAAGCGGGGTGTGTCCATCCTCCCTGCTCCAATGGGCTCTTCTTATTAAACCCCTCCTCTGTCATAAAGTGCCTCTGGGAAGAGGGACAGGCCAAGTAGATGTGGGAGTTTCTGTGTCTGGCTGGAAGCTCGATGGAGTCTAGGTGGGCTGTAGGAGGAGGCGCTCGCCAGGCCAGCAAGAGACCTGGATCTAGTAGGATCCCATGCAGGTATGGCGTTTGGGGAGAGAGACCTTGAGCGCCGTCTTTCCTCTCGGTTAGATCGCCTAGGAGGGGTGTCTCGTGCGACGTGCGCTCTGATAGTAGTGCCTGCCATTTCTTAGTTGCTGTCGCCTGGCTTGCTGGGCAAACTGGCTGACGCCGGACAGGTTGAGTTTAGGTGCTGCAACTGGCTGGAGTACTGAAAGTGATTCAGCAGCAGTATTATGGTGACGGGCCTGGCAGCTGAGTGCTTCCTTCCCAGTTGTAAGCAAACTTTCTTGCTTTTGTTTCTGCTTGCATCATTTCCCGCCGAGCGTCGCTCCTGGGGGATGCGCGCGCAGTCTGCCGTTCGAGCGGGTTGCTTCAATGGCCTGCCGCGTCTGCTGCAGAGTCGTAGTGGGAAAGTGAATGTTTTCCTGTTTTCTTACGAACTCTGAGTGGGAGTCATTTTCAGGGTGCGGCATTGGGTCCCGAACAGTAAGGACGCGCCTTTCATTCTAGGAAGCACCCACGCACAAAAATGGAGGGCCTCTTCCTGTCCCTCTTGTACTTGAAAGGGAGAGCATACTGTTGAAGCCGCAGTTTTTATCTCATGTTTATGGGACCATATATTTGTGGTTGCTGTGTTAGTAACTTTCCAGTGCTAGCGGTCTCTTAGTCTTGGTAGTTCGAGAAATACCAGATAGGCTTGCCAGCTTTTACTCACCCTGCCCCCGTGGAATAGCAGGAACAAAGGGTTGGAATTGCACTCAACTGCCAAACAACGCCCACTGCTCCTCCTTACACTACCTTGGATCAACATTATCTGTGCTGGTTGGTAAATTTAGTTTCTAGGAATAAGTAACTTCTTAAAAGGGGAAAGTATGTGCCTCTCTGCTGACTTATGAAAGTTGCTCTTACAAAAATCCCCTTACCGTAGCTTAACATATTCTGTTTTTAGCATTAACTACAAACAAAATAATAACCTTTGTCTACAGAATAGCTTTCCCCAGTCTGGGCTATCTCTAAATGTGGTGGACTTCAGCTCCCATAATTCCTAGCCAGGGGAGTGGGGAAACCACTACTGTTACTCATGTCAGGTATGGTTAGTGAAATAAGTTACAAATGGAAGGTCTGCAATTAAGCTTTTGATATCTTTGTGTTGTTAAAATTTTATTTCTTACCAAATTTGTTTCTGAGCCAGGATCAAAGAGACAACAGACAGTTGCATGAAATTAACTTCTTTATTCTTCACCAAAAACAATGACAGGAAGCTGTTAGGCCGCACAGGACCCTCCCCTACAGCACTTTATATACATTCCATTCAGCCTCTCCTATAAAACACCACCCCTTACTCAGTTACCCATACCTTACCTTAACATCATTCCATATAAGGGCGGGCTGGCTGGCCAGGCAGCCTGCCTGCCTGCCTTTTTAGGGCCCCTTGACTGTTAGCCAAACACCTTTTTCTAGGAAGAAGCAATCCTTGGAATGTACACCTTATCTTGTTTCTATGGGTACAGTTTCTTATTTATCAAGGCTAGTGAAAAAGGCCTCCAAGCTTACAAACTTGAAAAGAATGAAACCGGGTTCAAAGATCATGAATAAAAGTCTTAAGTGTTTCAATACTAAATATAAGAATATATTTAGCATCTAAATTCTATATATGTAAAATCTTCTGTTAGTGTAATGATCACCATCTTTGCGTAATGAGCACCATCATCATGGTGCTTTTGATATCTTTGTGTAAATAATAAGATTTTGTCTCCCTCCACCTGTTCGTTTATTGTCTACCTCACTGTGTTTCTTTCATTGCTCCCCTCCTGCACTTTTTTTCTGTGACAGTACAGTAGCCAAGTTTGGGACAGCCTTTTCAGCTTCACAGATCAAGTGGAAACATAGTTTCCCTCTGCTCTTGTTATTTCATTGGAAGGTAGAGAAGAGGTGGGGAACAATTAAGGTGATGGTCATGTAATAGGTTAAAGAGCAGGAATAGTTTGTTCCAGATGCTGCCTGCTGAGACCCACCCCTTCCCCAAATCCCTGCCGTGAACCCAAAAGGGCTCTGTCTATTGCTATTATTCAGCCAATAAAAGGGTGTGGAAAAGGAGATTTGTAAATCTCTTTGAGTGTTGTATAGACAAAAAGGTGGAATATAAATTTAATAACTAAATAGTATTCATTGAGAGCAATTAGGAAGATTTTTGTCTAGCAAGGAAAAAAAACGTATTTCAGATAGTTTCAGAGGTGACTCAGGACTGGTGGAATGGGAGTTTGAAATTCACTTAACTGCATGACCACCATCTCTAGATTAAAACAGTACTGACAGTGGGATTAGGGCCCAAATCTGTGCAGATGAAATCCTCAGGCTTCCTAGACTTCTCCTTTAGTCACCCACTTTTCCAGCCTTTTCTCCATTCAGATAATGTTAAGAAGTGGTACATTTTCTTCCTAACTTTGATCCTCTACGAGAATGTCAGTGCTTGGAATCATAGAATTGGAAGGAACCTGATTCTGTCATTTGGTTCATCTAATCCAGCCCTCTGCTCAGTGCAGGAAACAAAAACATTCCTGGCAAATATTTACCCAAACTTTGAAGACATCCCAGCGAAGGGAATCTCGCATCTCACTTGGTAATCAGTTTCATTGTTGAATTGCTCCTATTGTTAGGAAGCTTTTCCTAGCATTCAAACAGAATCTGGCTTCCTGTAATTTAACACCATTCAGATGACAGAAAATAACTTGTGGATTTCTTGTGTCTGACACCCCTTTAGGTACTTGAAGAGTGTTGCTCTTTATTTATAATTAAGCCTTTGCATGCAGTACAGCAAAATCCTCAAATGCATTCAAACATATATACATAATAAAAATTAACAATAAAAACCTAGTACAACAAAAGTGCCAATTACATAATCTGAAGCCAAGTACTTGTTGGAACATTGCTTCTTTAGCCTGTTGTTTCCTTGGTTGTGGTGAGCTCTTAATTTATCTGAGCATTAAAATGTATTTTTGGTGCAGAAATTCTGGTTTTGAACTGGCCAATCCATGTACCATTTTTTTAAATATTACCTCCCTTTCATCACAGTTAACTAATTTTCTTTCAGCATACTCTTAAGACCTCGAGTGAGCTGCTTTGTTGTATATGTCAAGTTTATCAAGTATAAATAGAGCAATCTCCTTTGAATTAATACCTTTGTGAAATCATCTCTTAGCAATCAAAAGATAACAGTTCTTCCTGCATAAGATTGATATTGCTGGCCTTTGCTCTTATAATATATACCCCTTTCCTGGAACCATGAACTTAAAAATGGCATGTTCCCATTTCCTTTTTAAAATTCAAAATATAACATTGAAAGATGCTTCATAGGTCTACATCTGTGTAATGGAGGTGCCTATTAAACTTTCCAGTTTGGTTTAACCAGGAATTTTATTTATTGTCTCTTATCCAATTTTTTTCTGTTTTGCATTCTCTGTTTTCATTCAACAAACCATTAACAATGATGAGAAAGGGTGTTTGTGGTAAGAATTACAGATGACCCAAAATGGAATAATAGGCCTCCCTCTTCCCTCTGCCCTTCCTAGATTTCAAGATAATAGAAAATAGAGGAAAACAAGACTGAGATGTAACCTGCAGCAAACTGGAAACTTGGTGGCTGTCTTCTCTACTTATTAGTGAATGGGCCATATGTGAAGGACACGTGTTCATGCCTGACTTAGGTAGAGCAAGAGTTGATACCTGCCAGAGCTCTGGTCTAAAGGGGTGGCAATGGAATAGGGATAATTTTCCATTATATTGACGTTACTAAAGGCCGCTTCTTATATAAACAAATTCTCCATCCCTGGGGGACCTGGTAAGTTCAAACTTAACCTAGGATGGAAACGCATGTAAGTTTAATACTGGTTGTACTATTTTTGTTGAGATACTATCATCTAGATGGCTCTATTAAGCATAGAATTCTGGTCCCTACTACACATTTCGTTATTATTTTGCTTCTAGGAACTTTGCCCGTGGAGCCTGCAGATGGGGTCAGAACTGCCGATTCTCCCATGATAGGAAATCTACCCAGATCTGCAGGTATTTCCAGAATGGATTCTGTGGCTATGGAGACCGTTGCAGGTAAGTATTCTTAAAAATATATCATCCTTACATTCCTCATATCTACTAGATATGGAGGATTAGAAGTACAGTTGTGCAGAGGATGGAAAAAGAAGTTTGCTTCAAACCTAGAACAAACCACCAGGTTCTGGAAATTTTGCCAAATTTTTCACCAAGGACTGAAATCTGATTCTTTGGTTATTCCTGATTGTGAACAAAACAAAACACAGACAGGGCAAGGCTGATATGTTACCCCCTTCTTTTTCCCCCATACTAGCTCCTACCATAGCATATCTCCTAGCTCCCCTGATCTTCCCAGTGCCTTCCCCCCCCTCAGCCTCTACAGATGTCATCTCTCTCCACCCCACGTTTACCCCTTCAACTTCCCAGCACCTCACCTTCATCCATGTTCCAGAATACTCTTGCCATTCATTTCAAGCAACAAGAAAACTCAAAAGGCTTGGCCTGTATTCCACATCAGCTGAAAGCTTCTTCTAGAACAGCCTTCTACAACCTGGTGCCTTCTGGTGGGACTACTGCTCCCACCAGGAGTTTCCAAGCAGCTATTTTATAGTAATATTCCCTAATCTAGCACTCAGTAAATCCCCAAATGTGTCCTTGCTAACTAGGAAATTAATGCCTGACGCATAAGGGACAGAAAAAGTAAATGTCATGAAGACACTGGAAAGGCGTCTTGGTGCTGGTCTGCACCTAGAGGGAGAGAACGATGCCCTGTTAGAACTGCGATGCAAGCTCTGGTGCAGCACCTCTTTTTCAGTTTTGCTCTTAGTGAGCGATTTCAGTTTAGGTTTATTTTCCAGGATTTTGCAGCACTCTGTACAGTACTGGCTTGAATATTCCTCTGTTGCTTAATCCATGACATACTGAGCATTTTTTAAATGTTGCAAAGCAGGAAATTGCTGTTTAAGAAAGGTTTTAAATACTTCCCTTTAGGAAATTTTGGGGCAGAGGAAGGTTTCATATTACGTACACAGGATCTAAAGCAAATAATCAAGGCTTGCTGCAGTGTTTATTATATAAACAGTACATACTGGAGGGCATCCCACCAAAAGAATAGTGAGAGCCACTCCTCCAAACAAAAGAGATGCGCTGATATTTATACACTTCAGAAAAAGGAAAAATGATGCATGCACACATATTCATAAGTAATATATCTCAGGTTACTTCCTGCCCTTCTGCTGTCTGCTATCTTCAAAGAAAACAATCGTCTTAGTGAGAAGAAACAGGTCAAAAGGAGGGGGCAATTTAGGGTGCCAAATGCCAGAAAGAAGACATCCTTTATTGGCATCTTGAGGACAGATTCATGGGTTGCCATGGGAATGTTCTGATAAGGTTTACAACAGACTGGTGTGAATTAGATAAGCCAGCTCCAAGGATACTGCGAATTCCTTATGTTTCAATTTGATTTAAACAATCCCATTCATCCGAAAACGTACTTTCCTCACATGAGGTTGAGAGTATAAAGGCATGAAAGCAAAAATAGAAATGTCCAACTCTCCCACTTAGTCAACACACTATGGGATAGCAACCAGGTTTTCTTCCAGCTACTTGTGTTAGGAGTTATTTGGCTGGTTTCACATATGCTAAGCCATGGTTTATTGAGCAAGCTATATGGCTTAGTTTGCAAATAATATTAAGCCATAAGCAATGGTGGACACAAACTTCATGTTCAGCACAAACCATATCAGGCTTAAAATAAAGTGTGAACTGAGGCTTTTGTACTTCTCTTTCAAAATGCAAGTTAAAAGTATATGCTACGGTATCCAAATGAAACGGTACACAGAAAATTCCTGTTCTGATCACCTTGTGAATTAGGCAAACAAACAAACAGCCTCTTTTAAGGGAGCTATAGTCTTACACATCATTTGTCCCTCGTGCTGAGTATCATGATTATCAGAAGGCACAGAGTTAGATCCAGGTTGTCCAATCTGTGCATCGGAACAGCATGAATTCACAGAAGGCATTAGGATCCAGTAGAGATGGAAAGAGAAAGAGCAGACAAACCCCTTTCAGGTTTGTATCCCTTCCCCCTCTGTCATCTCCCTTGCTGCTTTAGCTGTCCTAGCACTCAGGGGAGGAAGCACTGAAGTTGCTTGGGAAAGGGGATTAGGAGGGAATGTTTTCTGATCCCCTTCTCTAGCGGGATTATAGTAAGCACCATTTGATAACTATTTTATAGAGCTATAATGATTCCTCTCTTGTTGGTTATGAAAGTGCAATTGCATTTCCCTGAGTGTGAGGTTATGACACTTTAAAAACTAAAGTGCAAGAACAGGTATGTTTGTTATGCTCTCAGTGAGATACTGCTATCACTCCATCTCACTCACTATTCAATATTTCATTAGCTACCAGCATATTTCAGAAGCCCCAGCCTTGAGCAGGTGTCGTATAGAGTCTGCCCACCACGGGCTGGAAGGAAGTGGATTGTCGCTGAACCGCCGGGGGTCAGAGCCAGCCATCTTGCCAGAGGCTTCAGTCAGGAGCTGGGGAGGGTCTCGGCGTGAGTCTGAGCCAGCGGTCTTGAGCATGGGGCAGCTGCAAACAAACTTTGAAAGCATGAGCATGTCATTTGACGAGGAAGATGAAGACAAGGAAAAAGCCTTCACTCCTTGGCATCCACCAAACTGGGCTCTCAGCAAAGAATTTGTCCCTAGGGAGACCACTGCAGGTAGGCTCCCAACAGAACTAATGGAATGAGATTGTGTATGTTATATATTTCATTGGAGCATTCACAGAGCACATGAAACTCCAGTACCACCTGAAGCTTAGCATGAGTAGAAGCATAGTATTCATAAGATATTGCATATTGGGCTCATCATTTCAGATCGTCTTTTGATACTTTCTCCATTTTCCAGACCTTTCTTATTTGAAAGTTAATATATACTTTTCTATGTCAAAGTATCTTTTCATGCCAGATTTTCATTGTTAGTGTTCCATTTGAACCATGAAGGCACATCTTATCCATCCTTCAAAAAACAACCAACCTGTATGGGAGCTACCTTTCTCAGTGGCTCTCGTGTTGCAAGAGTCCATTTAAGTGACCACATAGTTCAGTCACTTTTTAACAAACAATTACTTAATGTGCAGGTTTCTTGGCTTAAGTGAAAAGCTCTGTATTTTGCATTAAAATAAAGGGATTAGAGGCCAAGATCCTTTATAACCCACCCAGCTGAATGGCCATTTAGTCTTTCTACCACCATCACTGTGGGCAACTGAAAAAAGTTCTGTTGCTGTTCCTTCTGATTTGTCCTTCTTGAGATACATACTGTTACTTTTTTTTTAAGTTGGTAAGGCTGCTGGGTGTGTGATTTTTGTGATTTTCACACACACATAATATTATATAGAGTGGGGTGATGGGAAGAAGTTTTCCTGGCTAGCTGTGTTCCTTCTGCTTAGATTCTAGTTCCCAGGAACAGAAAATTGATACCACATCCCTGAAGTCAGAAAGTGAATCTACCAAGGAGACTGCTTCTGCTTCTCTTCTCTCAGAAGAGTCAAAGGTAGGTGAGAGAACTGAAGGACAGAGAGAACAATAGATGCTACCATCTAAAAGCGTGCTCCACTTGAGTATCCTAGGACAATAATTTCATTGTATGAAAATTGCATATGGTATATGCAGGCTGTTACATTTGGGGGGTAAATATTGTTTCCATGTACTGAGATTTTAAAACATCTTTCTTTGAGAATTCAGGCTAAGGTACACTCTGTTGATGGGATGATGTCTCCAGAAATCACTGAACTGAACCTTCTTAGCCAGCATGGCCAATGGTTGGATTTGCTAGCAATTGTAGTTCAACATCAGCAGGGCCCAACTTTACCCTATGCACATCCTTGTTTCTCTCCTTCCAATTGCTTTTGCCTAAAAACAGGTTCTACAGGCTGTGAACAAGTTGGGTTAAGCAATCTTTGAAGAGAGAAAAATGGAATGGGTAAGGAATGGATCAAAGTGAGGGAGAGAAAAAGGACAGAGGAGAAAGTGATGAAATAGGAAACAAAGGAAATAGGTAAATGAAAAGCAAATTCCTTGGGAGGCAAATGATAGTGATACAAAGGAATACAAACTGAATACAGTGCAAAGCATTTTGATTTTGGGGTTTTTTTTCTATTTTATTTCAAATTTCTTTGTGCTAAACAAAGAAAACAAAGCCTAATTATAGCAGACTTTCCTATCCTTATAGCTTTTGGCTGGAATTTCTAAGAATTGCAACTGACTACATCAAGGGGCAATTGTTTGGGGAAATAAGTTCACCCTATTGAAGGCTACTGTTCTCTTGTGCTTGTTACTAAATCCCCAGGCATTTAAGTTTTAACACCTAAGCATTTATATAAACTCTGCTTAATTTGTTTAGAGTAGCAGACTTTCTCTTCTGTGGGACAGGAAAAGCATACCAAGAACTGCCAGTGAGACAAGGATGGGTATGACTACATGAGTCTTGCCTCAGTCATCTTCCTGCCACTCACAATTTTCCTTTTATCTAAAGCTCCAATAAACAGGTTATATAGGAACAAACTTCTAAATTTAAACTTTTGAAAGAGCAATACCCAGAAAGGATCTATAGAATAAACAGCCAAGATCTGTTTTGTTTTATATTACTATTAAACATTGTGATGATCTTTTTTAGGCAACTGGTAGTTTGCAAGCAGCAACAGAAGCTGCAGTGGCACAGAGCAAGGATGTGGTATGTGGCATCTGCATGGACAAAATCTCTCAGAAACCCTTGCCCGAGGAACGTCTGTTTGGCATTCTTCCCAACTGTACCCATGCCTATTGTGTGGGCTGCATCCGGAAGTGGCGGAAAAGCCGAGACTTTCACAGTACGGTGATAAAGTAAGCTTTCCATGGCAATTGCGGGTCTCCTGCTTATATAAACCTCCTGCTTATATAAACTAATCTTTATGCTGGTTAATATCTAACCTCTTGCCTGGCCAGTATTTGTGTAGAGAAACTTTGTACCCTCTAAGCTTGCACTTCCATTGTCTATCATGCTTGCATGAAAAGCTTTTAATTACCATACATTCCTTTTCCTACTGCACTGAGCTACTTGGAGGAAAAGAGAGATACACAGGAATTTTAAAAAGCCAGTTTTCAAGTTCAGTGTATCATTGCCCTCTACAGTGGCAAAACAAAGCAACAAACCAGAACCAAGGGCTAGAGAGAAAAGGACAAGCTTGATTCTGCAAGACTTTCCTTAAGTTTTTTGGGATGCAGTATCCCATCTTCAGGAAGAGGAGCAAACCCTCTAAAAGAATGATGATGTTAGATGTACAACTATAATGCTCATGACATGCTTTTTCAGGTCAGTAGGAAGGAATAGGGAAAAAGTCACTCCATTGGGGAAAATAATGGGGGCATACACCACCCTGCCTGAATGATTTGAATTTCATTGAGAGCCTTATGGGTAGAAAGACAGAATACAAATCATAAACAAATGTTCTAGGTCATAAACAAGTGTAATAAACATGCATAATGTTGGTCACACAAATCTTTATTCTGAATGCATAGAAATAATATATAATACATGCCAGGAAGACTGAAATCTAGTGACATGACAAGAAATCATCCAACATGAGGGCAATACCTAAAAATAATCCTGTCCATTATGCTCTCAGCAGGAATCATAATTGCAATAGATATGACAAACCTTAATTTGTAAATCTATATGGGAGATCAGGACTTTTCATGTATTCTTGAAATTCTTATATTGTTAACCAACTTCTGTTGCAATTTGCTTCTGCTTTACTGTTAAGGATATTAATACAAATCAAAATTCTGAAATCACTTGATCTTGTTTAAAATCTCTGAGGCTTTTAGTACTTAAGGTTGGATCACATTGACAGATGAATTGTCTACTGTGTCTTATACGCTATATTCAACTTCCAGAGGTTGCCCAGAGTGCAGAGTCACTTCAACTTACTTTATTCCCAACAAATACTGGGTTTTTGATACAGAAGAGAAGGAAAAACTGATTGAGACTTTCAAGGCACGGACTAGGTATGTAACTGTTTTCTCTGGTGAAAGTTACATGAAGTTGATGCTTGAGAGTCAGGTAGTTAGTTGGAGCCTGTGTGGTTGTGAGTTATTGTTGTTTGGCTTTTTATTTCAGCTGTCCTTATAGCCTTTCTTATGCTGCTTTGATGTCATGTTAATTTTATTGTTAGGCACCTAGAATAACTGGTGAGATGGGTGGCCATATACAGTACTCTGCAAAAGTTTTAGGCAGGTGTGAAAAAATGCTGTAAAGTAAGAATGCT